CCTGGTGTTCTTTCCGTAGATACGGATTTCCATGTGCTGTTATTTTTCTTCTACCCAAAGAATGTTCTGTAGCAACTTTCTTGTAGCTAGGATTAAATGGTAATTCTTTTTTTTTTTTTTTTTTGAGGAATGTCATTCTATTTTCCACAGTGGCTGCCTCATCTTCCATTCCCACCAGCAGCACACCGGGGTTCAACACCTTAGAGTTGATTCTACCTTTTCACCACCATCAGCAACCAGGAGGACCATCTTGGTGCATTTCTTTCTCTCCAGCTGCCAGACATGATCTTTAAGACAAACTCCCAGCAGTATAATTGCTGGATTCAAGTCAGCCACAGTCATGTCCCGACTCTTTGCGACCAAAGGCCCACTTCCTGCTGGTGTCACCCTTATACAGCCATGTCAGTCTGGCTACTTCCCTCTGCTGGCTTTTCTCTGGTGCCTCTGTGACCTTCCTCCCTGGGCTCACTTTCTCCTTGTCTGGGCCCCCTGCCTGTTTCTCTCTAGCCACCTGCTAGAGTCACTCATGCTAGTTTGGGCTCCTGCTCCAGTGCCTATTCTGGGATGCCCTTGGGTCTTTAGGCAGCCCTGGGCAGGCAAGGGCAGGCTTGGAGGCTCTGGGGCCAGGGGCTCCCAGGAGGGGGTAGGACCAGAAGAACTAGAGTTTCTGCCCTCACGGCTTCCCTGATAGCTCAGTTGGTAAAGAATCCGCCTGCAATGCAGGAGACCCTGGTTCAGATCCCAGGAGCGGGAAGATCCCCTGGAGAAGGGATAGGCTACCCACTCCAGTATTCTTGGGCTTCCCTTGTGGCTCAGCTGGGAAAGAATCCGCCCACAATGCGGGAGACCTGGGTTTGATCCCTGGGTTGGGAAGATACCCTGGAGAAGGGAAAGGCTACCCACTCCAGTATTCTGGCCTGGAGAATTCCATGGACTACCACGGGGTCACAAAGAGTCGGACACGACTGAGCGACTTCACTTACACTTTGGCCTCATCTCAAAGCGGGTCAGGTCTCCCAACACCAGCCCTGAGCCCCAGTCCTGGAATCCCCTTCCCGGCTGGCCTTCCCAGGCTGGGGGCCACTTTCTCCTTCCCCCTCTAGCCAACGGGCGCCCATACCTGCGCAGACCGGGTCGTCTCCACACCTTTCTGTTCTGTGGGCTGATCGCGACAGCCCCCACGGAATCGCAGCGCTGGCCTGGGCCAGAGACGGAAGGAGACAGCAGAGGAAGACGCTGCCGATACGCTGACCGCCCCGTCGAGGCCAGTTCCCCGGCCTCACCCTTCCCGGCGGGCGGGCGCGGCCCTGGCTCCGCCTCGGCGGTGGATGGGAGGGCGGCACAGAGGCCTAGGAAGTGCTGACCCAGCCGACCGCCTTCCCAGCAGACTCCGCCTTCCCCGCCCGCGAGGGACCCGGCACCGGCGGTGGCCAAGGCGGCGGAGACTCAGAGGCATGGGGCGAGCCGTGACTCAGAGCCGGCCCTGGGCGCAATCTGGTGGCGAAGACGCCCGACCTGGAGCGCCTGGCGCACCGAGGGGAGCCCCGCGGCGAGCCTGGGCACTCCCCACCGCACCCCCCACCCCAAGACAAGAGCCTTTTCTCCAAGTCTTCGGGCCGCGCACTTCTAGGTTCTCTGCATGGCCGCAGGCGAGCGGGCACAGGAACGCGCGGTGTAGGTGGAGCCCAGGGCAGACCGCGTGGAGGGTCCCCGTGGGGGTCGCTGCTGGGACAATTGGGCGACTTGCGCGGGTTCTGCGGCCCGACGGTGGGTCCTCACTGGCTGCTTTGTAGTGCGGTCTTCCCCGCCTACCCACTTGTGGATTGGGGGTGGTGATGAGCAGAAGGTTTGGGCATTTTTTAATTTTTTGGCCTCTCCACACCTTGCAGGTACTTAGTTCCCGGACCAAGGACAGAACCTGCACCCTTGGCAGTGAGAGCATGGAGTCCTAACCACTGCACCGCCAGGAAATTGGTGGGGAAATGTTTTTTAAATACATGAAGTCATGCTGTGCTTTAAAAAATAAAAGTTAAAAATATACTGCTTAAGGAGTACAGGCCTTTCTTTTTAGGTGATGAACATGTCTGGAACGAGTTGGAAATGGCTGACAACATTGTGGATGTATCACTACTAAATGATATATGATAATGTTATATATATTTCCTATTGTATGTTATATGCATACATTGCATATATGTATGTTATATATACACTGCATATAACATCACATATGACATTATATTACAAACATACATTCATACAGTGCAATTCTATAATATGGCAATTAAATAAAATTGTATGTAGTTTCAGTTCAGTTAAGTAGCTCAGTCATGCCTGACTCTTTGCAACCCCATGGACTGCAGCATGCCAGGCCTCTCTGTCCATCACCAACTCCCAGAGCTTGCTCAAACTCATGTCCATTGAGTCGGTGATGCCATCCAACCACCTCATCCTGTCTTTCTCTTCTCCTGCCTTCAATCTTTCCCAGCATCCAGGTCTTTTCCAATGAGTCAGTTCTTCACATCAGGTGGCCAAAGGATTGGAGTTTCAGCTTCAGCATCAGTCCTTCCAATGAATATTCAGGACTGATTTCCTTTATGATGGACTGGTTGGATCTCCTTGCAGTCCAAGGGGCGCTCAGGAGTCTTCTCCAATACCACAGTTCAAAAGCATCAATTCTTTGGCGCTCAGCTTTCTTTACAGTCCAACTCTCACATGCATACATGATTACTGGAAAAACCACAGCTTTGACTAGATGGATCTTTATTGGCAAAGTAATGTCTCTGCTTTTGAATATGCTGTCTAGGTTGGTCATTGCTTTTCTTCCAAGGAGCAAGTGTCTTTTAATTTCATGTCTGCAATCACCATCTGCAGGGATTTGGGGCCTAAGAAAATAAAGTCTGTCACTGTTTCCATTGTTTCCCCATCTATTCGCCATGAAGTGATGGGACCGGATGCCATGATTTGAGTATTTTGAATGGTGAGTTTTAAGCCAGCTTTTTTTTTTTTTAATATATTTATTTATTTGGCTGTGCTGGGTCTTAGCATGTGGTATATGGGATCTAGTTCCCTGATCAGAGATTGAACCCGGGCACCCTGCATTGTGAATGCAGAGTCTCAACCACTACACCACCAGGGAAGTCCCTTAAGCCAGCTTTTTCACTCTCTTCTTTCACCTTTATCAAGAGGTTCTTTATTTTTTCTTCACTTTCTGCCATTAGGCTGGTGTCATCTGCGTATCTGAGGTTACTGATATTTCTCCTGGCAATCTTGATTCCAGCTTATGCTTCATCCAGCCTGGTATTTCACATGATGTACTCTGCATATAAGTTAAATAAGCAGGGTGACAATATACAGCCTTGACATACTCCTTTCCCAATTTGGAACCCGTCCATTGTTTCATGTCCAGTTCTAACTGTTGCTTCTTGACGTGCATACACATTTCTCAGGAGGCAGGTCAGGTGGTCTGGTATTTCCATCTCTTGAAGAATTTTCCACAGTTTGTTGTTGTGATCCACACAGTCAAAGGCTTTGGTGTAGTCAATAAAGCAGATGTTTTTCCAGAACTCTCTTGCTTTTTGTATGATCTATCAGATGGACATTTGATCTCTGGTTCCTTTCCCTTTTCTAAATCCTGCTAAACATCTGGAAGTTTTCAGTTCATGTACTGTTGAAGCCTCACTTGGAGAATTTTGTGCATTACTTTGCTAGCATGTGAGATGAGTGCAATTGTGCAGTAGTTTTTGAACATTCTTTGCCATAGCCTTTCTTTTGGACTGGAATGAAAACTGATCTTTTCCAGTTCTGTGGCCACTGCTGAGTTTTCCAAATTTGCTGGCATATTGAGTGCAGCACATTCACAGCACCATCTTTTAGGATTTGAAATAGCTCACCTGGAATTCCATCACCTCCATTAGCTTTGTTCCCAGTGATGCTTCCTAAGGCCTGCGTGACTTCAGACTCCAGGATACCTGGCTCTAGGTGAGTGATCATACCATAGTGGTTATCTGGGTCATTAAGATCTTTTTTGTATAGTTCTTCTGTGTATTCTTGCCACCTCTTCTTAATATATTCTGCTTGTTAGGTCCATACCATTTCTCTCCTTTATTGTGCCCATCGTTGCATGAAATATTCCTTTGGTATCTTTACTTTTCTTGAAGAGATCTCTAGTCTTTCCCATTCTATTGCTTTCCTCTATTCCTTTGCATTGATCACTTAGGAAGCCTTTCTTATCTCTCCTTGATATTCTTTGGAACTCTGCATTCAGGTGGGTATATCTTTCCTTTTCTCCTTTGCCTTTTGCCTCTCTTCTTTTCTCAGCTATTTGTTAGGCCTTCTCAGACAAGTATTTTGCCTTTTGCATTTCTTTTTCTGGGGGAATGTCTTCATCCCTGCCTCCTGTACAATGTTACGAACCTCTGTCCATAGTTCTTCAGGCACTCTATCAGATCTAATCCCTGAATCTATTGTCACTTCCACTGTACAAGTGTAAGGGATTTGATTTAGGTCCTACCTGATTGGTCTAGTGGTTTTCCCTACTTTCTTCAATTTAGGTCTGAATTTTGCAGTGTACGTAGGTAATTATGTAAAATTACATAGTGTAATAACATTACATATGATACATTCATAAAATAATCTATTTAATAAAAATGCTATAACGTAAATTCCATGTTAGATGAAATTAATGAAAACAAAGGGGAAAAAGCTAAAAGGGCTCTGCCAACCCCGACCTTGAGTGGCGTCAGATAAACGTGCCGGCAGCAGGTTAGTCACGGAGACTTTTCCAAGGACGAACAAACTAGACAAAAGGGACGTGGACTCTGAAGGGGGCGGGGCTCGAGCCCCTCCTGCGCCGGGGCGTGGCGGGGGCGGGGGCGCGGCGTGGCGGGGCCAAGCCGCCCTTGAGCCCGTAATCGCTGCCATCAAGCGGCCTGAGCACGTTTTACGACAGTCGGCGGTCGAGCCCGGCGCCACCGCAGTCTTGCTTTCCGGCGGGTCCGCGGAGCTCGCGGCTACCGCCGCCATCCTCTCTGGTTCTTGAGTGCGCTCCCTTTCTTGGTTCCGGGACGGCTAGTGGGTGATGCGAGAGCGAGGCAGGGGCCAGGCCCGGTTCAGGCCCGACCCGCGAGGTGACCTTGATCGAGTGCCCTGTCGCGTCAAGCTGCGGCGCCCGTCCGTGGGCCTGTTAGTGACCCGGCTCCCGAGCGGTTGAGGACCTAGAGAGGCCCCTATAGGCTTGCCCCAGGGCAAGGGGAGCGCCGGGCCGCTGGGGGCTGTGGCAGAAGCTGGGTCGCGGGGGGAGATGCCCCTCCACGTGAAATGGCCGTTCCCCGCGGTGCCGCCGCTCACCTGGACCCTGGCCAGCAGCGTCGTCATGGGCCTGGTGGGCACCTACAGCTGCTTCTGGACCAGTGAGTGGGCCCACAGCCGAGGCAGGGTCGGCCGCGGGGCTCCACGCCCAGCCAGAGTTGGGGTTCGGGGCACTGGCAGGGGCTGGCTTGGTAGGGGGGAGCCCTGGGCCCCCGGGGAAAGGAAGCCAAGATCCCGACCCTGCCCGTCTCCCCTCAGAGTGCATGAACCACCTCACCGTACACAACAAGGAGGTTCTGTATGATCTCATCGAGAACCGAGGCCCAGCCACACCCCTCATCACGGTCTCCAATCACCAGTCGTGCATGGATGATCCTCATCTCTGGGGTACATGGGCCAGCGTGCTCGGCTTGGGGAGGCAAGGAGGGAACCTGGGTCAGGGCCGAACAAGAACAAACTCCTCACAGGGCTCTTTGCCCGGCCCTGACACTTCTGTTTCTGGGGTGTCCTGCCCCAGGGATGAAAGTTTGATTTGTGGCCCCTGCAGCATTCCCCTAGGCAGTATGGTTTAGAGAGGGCACCTGGAATTTGGAGGAAGTGAGGAGATGACCACAAGGCAAGGTCTGACGGCTTCTTTACTCTGAGCTATCAGGCCTGTGGGACCCTCCATTCTCTAAACTGTTGATGGTTCTAAAGAGCCTTGGGAATAAATCTGAGGAGCACAGCGTGTCCTGTCAAGAAAGCTCTGGGCTAGGGGCTGGAAGACCTGTGTCCTTGTTCCGGCTTTGCCCGGCTGGGTTTGTAGCCTTTTACCAGCCTCATTGGGGAGTCTAGAAGTTCTGCTGTGCTGACTTCACAGGTAGTTGCTTGGCTCTAATAACCCAGGTGGCTGGCTACAGGGGTGTCCAGAGCTCCCACTGCTGGATGAGGACAGGGAGCTCATAGGGATCCATGTGGTCAATTCAGTCTTTCAGAGCACACACTTGCTGCTGGGCAGAAGATGGCCTATAGGGTGCCAGAGGCAGATCCCAGGGACCAGGAGGAAGGTTTTAGTGCCATCCAGTCACCTGGACCAGGGTGGTGGCAGTGACTGGAGGAATAGTTAGAAGGATGTGCTGCATGTGCATGCTAGTCGCTTCAGTCTTGTCTGACTCTTTGCGACCCCATGGGCTGCAGCACACCAGACTCCTTTGTCCATGGGATTCTCTAGGCAAGAATACTGGAATGGGTTGTCATGCCCTCTTCCAGGGGATCTTCCACACCCAGGGATTGAACCCCCATTTCCTTTATTGCAAGTGGATTCTTTAATGCTGAGTCAGGAGGGATGGGCAACATTAGCATATATCAGGGAGGTAGGCAGACTGGATGTGGTGACTACTAAGATATAGGGGGTGGGAGACGGAGGAGCCAGGGAGAACTTGGGGGTCCAGCCGAAGGGTCTGGAAGATAGCTCTTTGGGCCATAGGGAAATGTCCTTCTCCCTCATTTCCTGAAACGGTGACAGAAAGTGGTGCCCCCTAGGTACAAGGTCAGTTGGGGCATGCAGCCTTCTCTCCTCCAGGGATCCTGAAACTCCGTCACATCTGGAACCTGAAGTTGATGCGTTGGTGAGGAGAAATGGACCCCCACGGTGGGCCCAGCAGGCCTTACCCGTCTGCCCAGATTGGCCCTCCTCCTGGCCTGCTCAGGAGGTGGCCTCCAGCAGTCCAGGCAGGGCCTGGGGTGGGACCCCACTGGCCCTCCTGTGTCTCCATTCTGCATTGCTGATGCCATCAGGCAGCATGCTGGTGGGGGGAGGGTGGCAGGGATGCAGGATGCAGGGGAAGCTGGGATGACCGCATCCATCCCCACTCCAGGACCCCCACAGCTGCAGACATCTGCTTCACCAAGGAGCTGCACTCACACTTCTTCAGCTTGGGCAAGTGTGTGCCCGTGTGCCGAGGTGAGCCGCTCCTCTGCAAGGGGCTGTTGGGCTGTTGGGTGCCGGGGACCCTTCTCTGGCCCTTCCGGGGGCAGGGAGACTGGTGGCAGTGTCTCTGATTCAACTGCACTGGGAGTTGAGGGACTCCAGTGAGACAGGCTGCCTGGGTGCCAGGGGCAGTTGCCTCACTTGCATGATGCCCACCTCCATCATCTGGGAGGAGGGAGCAATGGTTTCTTGGAGAGCACCAAGTTCCCTGTGAGTGCCGGAGGACTGGGTGCCCTGGGGCTCTGGCATTGGAGGTCATGGAGACATTATCCACAGTTGCTTCTTGGGAGGCTGTTGCTAAGAGACGCGTTGATGGCCACTTGGTGTCATCAGTCAGCGATGGTGGTGGCATGTGCCAGAGGCTGTGAGTTTGGGAAAACAAACAGGCTTCTGTGTCGAGCCGTGTGACATGGAGTGATTACTCCGCACCTCTTGAGAGCTTCAGAAGGTCAGGGCCATTTGGATCCCCCTTCTCCAATAAAAGGGGCTTGGAGAGATAAAGCTGCGGGGCCAAGGTCACAGGGCAAGAGGTGGCCAAGCCTGGATTCAAATCCAGCTTGCTTGTTTCTCTGGGGAAGTGGGATTTTTCCTGGCAGAGTATGAAAGGCAAGGCATCCTAGACCCAGGAAGCACGTAGCAAACCCTGGAAGGGTACGTGACCAAGGAAGAAATGTAGGTTGTGGGCTGCCTGTGAAGATTCTAGAACACTTGGCTAAGAATTTGACATGCTTTCGTGTGTGGTTGAGAGAGAGAGAGAGCCCCCAGGCTGCAGTGTACCTGGTGGACAGAATCAGGGTCGAGTGGAGGCCAGGAGCCTGGTTAGGGGCTGTCACAGTTCCTCTGGTGACAGGGCCTCTGGGGGTCACCACAGAGAGCCAGGGACCACGTGCTTTGAGCTGTGTTTTGGAGGTAGAGTTGCCAGGACTTGTTGATAGATTGCTCGTGGGCGGGGTGAGGGGGGCGGCGAGGAGAAGAAAACTCAACGATGACACTAGGTGACGGCTGGTGCCAGGGAGCTGCTGGGAGGATGGGACCAGGGACGAGCAGCAGGGTGTTGAGAGACCCTGTCACCCGAGGAAGGAGCAATCCAGAGACCATGTGATGTGCCATTCTGGAACTCTAAAAGATCCTGGGAACCCTGGTGCAAACAAAGTTGGCCACACAGAAATGAGAGCGTAGAGGGGGAGAGAAGGGACCAGAACAGCCCCTTACCGCAGTGGAGACACAAGCCCCCAGCGCAGCAGGGAGCAAAACAGGGCTCCTGGCTATTGTAGAAGCTTCCCATGACCCTGGAGAAGCCACTTCCCTGGACTGACAGCTAAAGGAGCTGCGGGAGTGGTGGGGAGGGGCCCAGCAAGGGGGGCCACTTCTCTCAGAGGTTGGGGTGTCAGGAGGAAGTAACCAGGGGGCGTTTGAGGGGAACCTTGAACGGAGAAACCTTATTGCTAGTAGTGGAAATGGTGATGATGGTTTAACTCGGTCGGAAAAGAATCTGCCTGCGATGCAGGAGATCCGGGCTTAATCCCTGGGTCAGGAAGAGCCTGTGGAGAAGGAAATGGCAACCCACTCCAGTGTTCTTCCCCGGAGAATCCCATGGACAGAGGAGCCTGGCGGGCTGCAGTCCATGGGGTTGCAAGAGTCAGATACGACTTGGCGACTAAACCATCACCATCCACTGAAAAGTTGCCATGCCCACCCCTCAGATCTGCAGACTTACTTACTCCCCAGAGACCCCTGTCTGAAACACTCGTTTTTTGCTGCATTTGGAGGCAACTTCATCTCCCCAAAACACAAGCAAAGGCCCCAGTGTCATGGCAGTTGACTGTGGTGTCCATCACGCACTGCTCTGAGCGATGCTGATGCTGCTCGGGTACTCTGTCTTGAGTCTCAGTCCCTCCTTTCTGTGACGTCAGAGGCCTTCCATGTCCACTTCTAGCCTCATTCTTCTTTTTGACCTGTATCTACATTTTAGGGTACAATAAAAGCAGCAAGTGCAGTCTTAATCCTAAGCACCTTCTGGTGAGAGAATGCGGGAAGGGACAAGCTGTCAAATGCATTGGTCGCAGTAAAGGCCTAACAATTGAAGCAAAGGAAGTACCCAGTATACTTTGCTTCTGTATTCCAGAAAATTTCCTCCACACCTCCTGCTAGGACATGAAGTGTCAAAGTGATCTTGCACAAGTCATGCAAGTGAGTAGAAATAGCATTTGTAAAAGCTAAACATCCTGAAGGGTTGCTCCCCAAGCATAGAATTTTAAAATTTCAATCGTGAGCTGGAAGGCTGGTTTGCACCAGTGAGTTTTTGTAAAGCAGGAGCCTGTGCCTCTGAAGACCAACCCTAGCGTGTTGTGTGATCCCAAGTAGGGAACCTGCAGCTCTCACTCACAACACCCAGAGAAACTTCAGTGGGTGACTGCTCCCCAGCTCCAGCCCCTGAGGTAGCTGCTGGGCTGTTTCCATGTGGATCGGGTTGGGACCGTTGGATCCCTATCTAGCACCTTCCAAAGACTTGGCCTTGCAGAGAACAGGTTGTAAGTCCATTTCTTAGGGCATCGGCCCAGGTAGTCCTACCGTTCATCTGTTCTTGTCTCCCTCTTTGTTTTATTCTTCTTGTTCATTCCACAGGGCAAGCAAGATCTTACTTCCCTGACCAGGAATGCACCCACACCCCCTGCAGTGGAGGTGTGGAGTCTCAGCCACTGGGCCACCAGGGAAGCCCCAATCTACCCCTTTGTGTTGTGGCTCTCTACTCCTCACTTGATGAGATAAGGATATTTACCCCACTTTTTCAGCCTCCCTCTTTCTCGGTCTCTGTCCACTCTCCGGACAAGCTTGAGAAGCAAGATTTTTACTGCGTGTGGGCACAGATTGTCCCCATGTGACTCTCAAGTTGAGAGCCAGCAGTCATGTCTGGGTTATTGCTGACCGCTGGGCCACTTGGGGCCAGTGTCACAGTCTCGGGGCATCTCCGAGGCAGTGTTGCCAGCATCGGGGATGGCTCAGCCACAGCGTTTTCCGTGTAGTGGGTTTGACTTTTTCCCCAACTCTCAGTGACACTATGAGTCAAAGTCACTCAGTCATGTCCAACTCTTTGTGACCCCATGGACTATACAGTCTGTGGAATTCTCCAGGCCAGAACACTGGAGTGGGTAAGCCCTTCCCTTCTCCAGGGGATCTTCCCGGCCCAGGGATCGAAGCCAGGTCTCCCGCATTACAGGTGGATTCTTTATAAAGGGCGACTCGAGTTTTCAAGGGGCGCCCTTTGATGAAGGGGCCAGCAGGAGGGAGGGACAGCAGAGAATGAGGACTCAGGCGGGGCTCAGAGGCCCCTGAGGGGTACCTGTGGGAACTGGCCTGGAAGAGACCCTGGGGAAAGGCTTGCTGTGCAGAACCTGGGGCCCCAGTGAGACTGGAGATCACAAATAGCCTTGCTTTGCTCCCGCAGCTCCCTCTGGGCCAGCGGCAGCCACTGGGAGGCTTGCCCCCAGACTAGCTCATCCCAAGGCTCCAAGAGCCCAACTGTGGAAGTGGGGGCAGGGAGGACAGTAATTGGTTTGGGGGTCCGAGAGGGCACACACTGCAGGTGTCTGACCACAGCCGGAGTTCCTCAGGGGCCGCAGCTGTGCTGGAACTGACGGGCAGAAGGTGGGGTCATAGGTGGGTTGTAAGGAAGTAAGGGGAGTCACTCAGTTGTGGCTGACTCTGCAATCCCATGAACTGCAGCCAGCCAGGCTCCTCCATCCATGGAATTTTCCAGGCAAGAGTACTGGAGTGGGTTGCCATTTCCTTCTCCAGGGATATTCCCGACTCTGGGATCTTCCCGACCCAGGGATCGAACCCAGGTCTCCCACATTGCAGGCAGACACTTTACCATCTGAGGTGTTCGCGTGGACCAGGCCCTGAGGGTGAGGCAGAGGAGGGGGGTCCTGGACAACCGAGACTGACGGAGGAGACTTTCTCATTGGCAGGAGATGGCGTCTACCAGAAGGGAATGGATTTCATTTTGGAGAAGCTCAACCATGGGGACTGGGTGCACATCTTCCCAGAAGGTCAGTGGCGCTGGCAGGGTCGCAACCCACTCAAGGATCTAGATGGGACTGCCCCCTATCCCCTCCCAGTGGCCCCTAAGCCACAACTCTATCCTCTCTCTCGACAGGGAAAGTGAACATGAGCTCCGAGTTCCTCCGCTTCAAGTGGGGTAAGAGCCACTGGTCCTTTCTGGCTGGGTGGGACCTGGGCACGTGGGGCAGATGACTGTGATCATTGCCACAGAAGGGGGACAGGAGCCCAGACCAAGGCCTGCCTGGCAGAGAAGCTGGCCCAGGGCAGCCACTTTGAACAGGGTTGGGGGGCGGGCAGGAGTGGCCCTGTCCACAGGCTGGCACCAAAACACTGCTTGTGCCAATGTTTCTTCCTCTCCGCCCGGGCAGGAATAGGTCGCCTGATCGCCGAATGTCATCTCAATCCAATCATCCTGCCCCTGTGGCATGTCGGTGAGCCTCCCTCTCGGGCCACTGCTGCAGCCCAGGGAGAGGGGCTTGGCATGGTGGTCTTGTGGGGTGGGTCTCCTCCGGGTGGTTGAGGCAGGGTGCCCGGACTGCCCCGCTCCACCCCCCCCATGCCTGCATCCTGGCTCTCTGTCTGCTGTGCTGCAGGAATGAACGACGTCCTTCCTAACAGCCCACCCTACTTCCCCCGCTTTGGGCAGGTAGGTAGGGCCGCCGATCATGTCTGTCTGTCTGCCCTCTGCCCCGTGACTCCCACACGGCACCACCAAGCCCAGATTCAGGAGGGGCTGGGCTTGCAGCAGAGGGAACAGAATGAAGCAGAGACAAGGGGCGGTGGTTTCCTGGCACCACAGCCAGGGAGGGGCAGGATAGGGACGACTTGGGCATGGACTCCAGGACTGGCAGGGCTCTTGGATGTCACTGAGCCCGACCGCTCTGTTTTAAAACGGGAGGGTCTGTAAAAAAATAAAATAAAAAATAAAACGGGAGGGTGGACCCAATGGGGTACTCAGCATCTTAGTGCTGGGGTTGTGGGCACCCTGTTCCTGTCAACCCACTGGTGGCTGGTCTCCCTGCAGAAAATCACCGTGCTGATCGGCAAGCCCTTCAGTGCCCGGCCTGTGCTCGAACGGCTGCGGGCAGAGAACAAGTCAGCAGTGAGTTTCTCCCTGGGGCTGTCCTTGCCTGTCCTGGTGCCCTTGGCTTCCCCAGGCACCCTGGGTGAAGCTCCCTGAGGACTGCCTGGCAGCCTCAGTCCTTCGCCCTCAGGTGGAGATGCGCAAAGCCCTGACAGACTTCATCCAAGAGGAATTCCAGCACCTGAAGAGCCAGGCAGAGCAGCTCCACAACCACCTGCAAGCCAGATAGGTGCCATCCCCCCTAGACCTGGGTCCAGCTGCATTTTGGACTGGGGGGAGGGGCAGCTAGGCCTGGGCCAGACACAGCTCTGGGACCCCTCCCAGCTCTCTCAGTGCTGCCTTTGGGCGCTGGGCTGGGGGATGGACTGATGCTGGGAGCTCAGATATGGTCCTTTTGACAGATTGGTGCATAACCCTTCCAGGGTTCCCCCTCCGAGTGGGTGAGCATCCCAGCGCCTCTGGTTCTGCCACTGAAAGAAGGCTCTCAGCTGCTCCTGGCACTTGGCCACGCAGGGAGGAAAGACCTTTAGGCAGGGGGCCCCTGCTCTCTTGCCTACAAGCCGTTTGCTCCCAGAGCTGGGGACTGGAAGGAGGAGCCCTAATCTTACTGCTTCCTCAGGGATAGCCATCAGCCATGTCTTCCTTCTGCCTGTGCTCCCTGCAGGCATGGGAGCCTCGGGCAGGGCCCAGCCCTGAGCTGCAGGTGGAAGAGGTGCCCTTTTCTATAAGGGGAGCCCGTCCAACAGGGCCCGAGACCCGGCCCCTCGCTGGGGCCCACTGTTCTTTCCGCCTCCCTGGCATCACTTGAATCCCCTGGTTGTTTTATAAACTATTAATAAAGGATTTGTGTTGTGCTCTTTTACCTCTGGCCTCTCTGTTGGGGTGGGGCTGGGAGGTGACCCTCTGGACCAGAAGGCTGGCCCCTGAGAGCTCTGGGCATGTCAACAGTATTTGACCGGACGGGCTCTCAGTGGGCACCAGCCACTGAAGACTTCCATCCTTGTCTGCGATCCCCACGCAGCCTGATAAGAGTAGGGCTTCATCTCATTCTGCAAATGGTGCAGCGTGAGGTTAATGGACTTGATTCAAAAACTAAAGTTTGCAAGGTAGGGAGGAGCAAGTAGCAATTCTGTCCTCGGGCTGGTTCCCAAGGCAGAGGTGGTCTCCGAAGCTCCCAGTGAGCCGCCATGAACTAACTACATGTGCTGTGATGGGAGGTGGGAAGGGGGACAACTTGACTGAGTTTGGGGCTCTGGGTGGGAGAAAAGGTAGGAGGATCCAGGGTGGTGGCACTCCTGGCAGAAGGGAAATCCTCTCGAGAGAAAAGCCAGTTCTGTTTAGGCCTCCAGTTTGTCCACAGGTGATTGTTCAGTTGCTAAGTTGTGTCTGACTCTCTGACCCCATGGACCGCAGCACACCAGGCTTCCCTGTCCTTCACTGTTTCCCAGAATTTGCTCAAATTCATGTCCATTATTGTGGTGGTTTTCTTTCTGGCACATTTGTTAAGTTTTCAAATGGGCCTAACTCTGCCACACATATTATATAGGAGCTGGCAAAGGCTTGATGACAAAGAGATCTCTTTCTAGCCTTTTCTGCATCAGAGATGGCCTCCCACATGTGAAAGGCTGTCTCATAAGTTTAAGTCCTTACAGACAGGATGACATAGCCTGTCTGGCCTGAGGAAAATGTCTGCTGAGGGGCGTTCCTCCACTCCTGTGATGGATTTGCAAAAAAAAAAAAAAAATTTCACGTCCATTGAGTCAGTAATCCTATCCAACCATCTCACCCTCTGCCACCCTCTTCTCCGGTCCTCAATCTTTCCCAGCATCAGGGTCTTTTCCAAAGAGTTGGCTCTTTGCATCAGGTGGCCAAAGTATTGGAGCTTCAGCTTTAGCATCAGTCCACCCAATGAATATTCAGGGTTGGTTTTCTTTAGGATTGACTGTTTCCTTTACTTTTTCCTTTAATTTTCCTTGACTTTCCTTTTTTCCTTGCCTACTTTTCCTTTAGGAATGACTGTTTCCTTTACTTTTTCCTTTACTTTTCCTTGAATTTTTTCCTTTAGGATCAAGTCCTTGATCTTGCAGTCCAAAGGACTTTCAAGAATCTTCTCCAGCACCACAGTTCAAAAGCATCAGTTCTTCAGTGCTCAGCCTTCTTTGTGGTCCAACTCTCACATCTATGTATGATGTGAGACATCATACAATTCCAGACAACTGGAGAAACCACAGATTTGACTATACAGACCTTTGTTGGCAAAGTGATGTCTCTGCTTTTTAATATGCTGTCTAGGTTGGTCATAGCTTTCCTTCCAAGGAGCAAGGATCTTTTAATTTCATGGCTGCAGTCATCACCTGCAGTGATTTTGGAGCCCCCAAAAATAAAGTCTGTCACTGCTTCCACTTTTTCCCCTTCTATTTACCATGAAGTGAAGGGACTAGATGCCATGATCTTAGTTTTTTGAATGTTGAGTTTCAAGCCAGCTTTATCATTTTCATTCACCCTCATGAATAGGCTCTTTAGTTCCTCTTCACTTTCTGCCATTAGTAAAGTTCAGTTCAGTCGCTCAGTCATGTCTGACTCTGTGACCCCATGAACTACAGCACGCCAGTCCTCCCTGTCCATCACCAACTCCCGGAGTTTACTCAAACTCATGTCCATTGAGTTGGTAATGCCATGCAACCATCTCATCCTCTGTCGTCCCCTTCTCCTCCTGCCCTCAATCTTTCCCAGCATCAGGGTCTTTTCAAATGAGCTCTTCACATCAGGTGGCCAAAGTATTGGAGTTTCAGCTTCAACATCAGTCCTTCCAGTGAACACCCAGGACTGATCTGCTTTAGGATGGACTGGTTGGATCTCCTTGCAGTCCAAGGGACTCTCAAGAGTCTTCTCCAACACCACAGTTCAAAAACATCAATTCTTCGGTGCTCAGTTTTCTTTATAGTCCAACTCTCACATCCATACATGACTACTGGAGAAACCATAGCCTTGACTAGACTGACCTTTGTGGACAAAGTAATGTCTCTGCTTTTTAATATGCTGTCTAGGTTGGTCATAACTTTCCTTCCAAGGAGTAAGCGTCTTTTAATTTCATGGCTGCAGTCACCATCTGCAGTGATTTTAGAGCCCCCCAAAATAAAGTCAGCCACTGTTTCCACTGTTTCCCCATCTATTTTCCATGAAGTGATGGGACCAGATACCATGATCTTAGTTTTCTGAATGTTGAGCTTCAAGCCAACTTTCTCACTCTCCTTTCACTTTCATCAAGAGTTTCTGTAGTTCTTCAGCTTCTGTCATAAGGGTGGTGTCATCTGCATATCTGAGGTTAGCCATTAGTGAAAGTTGGACCATAAAGAAGGCTGAGCACCAAAGAATTGATGCCTTCAAGTTGTGGAGCTGGGAAGACTCTTCAGAGTCCCCTGGTATTTGAGGAGATCAAGCCAGTCAATCCTAAAGGAAATCAACTCTGAATACTCATTGAAAGGACTGATGCTGAAGCTGAAACTCCAATACATTGGCCACCTGATGCGAAAAGCCGACTCTTTGGAAAAGACCCTGATGCTGGGAAAAATTGAGGGCAGGAGGAGAAGGGGGTGACAGAAGATGAGATGGTTGGTTAGTACCACCAACTGAATGGATATGAGTTTTAAGAAACTCCGGGAGATAGTGAAGGACAGGGAAGCCTGGCATGCTGTGTTCTATAGGGTCGCAAAGAGTTGGACACGACTTAGCAACCGAACAACAACAATGGGAAAAAACATAAACCCTTGTAAACCTTAAAACAAGAAAGAACATAAACCCTTGTGGCTCAGCTGGTGAAGAATCTACCTGCAACTTGAGAGACCTGGGTTCAATCCCTGGGTTGGAAGATCGCCTGGAAAAAGGAAAGGCTACCCATTCCAGTAGTCTGGCCTGGAGAATCCCATGGATTGTATAGTCCATGGGGTTGCAAAGAGTCAGACATGACTGAGCGACCTTCACTTGTAGGAAAAAACAGACTGTCAGCCAGTTTGCATCTGCATAAGTCCAAATGTAACATCTCTTTTTCATGTATATATTTTATATTCATTTTGACAGACATCAACTATTTCATGAAGAGTTCCAATTTGATAACCTAAATAAATGTTCCATTTTTCCATGTAGTTGTGTTTTAAATTATTTATTAATTTAACTTTTGGTTGCACTGGGTCTTCATTGCTGCCAGAGCGGGTGGTTACTCTCTAGTTGTGGTGCACAAGTTTCTCACTGTGGTGTTTTCTCTTGTTGTAGAGCACAGGCTCTCGATGTATGGCCTTCAGTAGTTGCAGTACATGAGCTCAGGAGTTGTGGGTCAGTAGTTATGTCACATGGGCCTAGTTACTCTGCTGTATGTGGGATCTTCCCAGACCAGGCATCAAACCTGTGTCGCCTGCATTGGCAGGTGGATTCCTATCCACCATACCACCAAGGAAGTCTCATGTTCAGTCTCAGAAAACTTGGAACAAAATGAGGTGAAAGTCAGTTTTTGGTTTTTCTATGTGGAGAGTCCTAATAGCAGAGAATAATGACAGTGTTGTTTCCTTCTTTACAAGTATTCTACTTTTTATTTCATTTGTCTAACTGCTTTGGCAGCACTTCTAGCTTCTGGAACTGAAAGAATACCTGAAAGAATTTATACCCAAATTTTTGGAAACAGGTTTTACAAAGTTTCCCAGTATAAGATCAACATGTATAAAAATCAGTTGTATTTACATACATACACCAGCAACAAAAAGTTAGAAAGTGTAGTTTAAGACTCCATTTACAAAAGTTACAAGGTAACTTGAAATCTCACAAAAGATGTGAAAGATCTATATAAGAAAAATCATAACATTTTATGGAAAGATAATAAAGAAGACCCAAGTAAATGGAGAGTGATCCCATGCTCACGAATAGGAATACTTGATATAGTAAATATGCCAGTTCTCCAGAATGATCTACAGATGGATAAAAAAAGATCGATCTACCGATTAAATGTGATTCCAATCACAAGCTAATCAGGGTTCAGACAGACAGTTGCACAACCATGTTCATAACAGCATTACTCACAACAGCAAAAAGGAAACTCAAGCGTCCATCAACAGATGAATGGGTAAATAAACCGGAGTCATACAAGGAAATATTATTCTCCATAAAAAGAAAGGAAATTCTGACATTGTGGCTGCATTGTGGATGAACCTTGAAAACATTACACTAAGCGAAGTATGCCAAACACAAAAGACCACATGTAGTATGATTCCATTCATATGAGATCCCTAGAGTAGTCAAATTCATAGAGACAAAAAGTAGAATGGGTGACAGGGACTGGGGGAGGACGGAATAGAGAGAAAGAATGTTTAGTGGAGACAGTTTTAGTTTGGGGTGGATGAGAATGTTCTGGCAATGGATGTAGGCAATGGTTGTAGAACAATGTGAATGTGCTTCATGCCCCAGAACTGGACAGTTAAAAATGGTTACAATGTTAAAGTTTTATGTCACGACTATTTTACCACAATAAAACTTTTAAATAAAAAATGGCTAAAATGGTAGACTTTGTTATGTACATTTTACCACAACTTTAAATAATCTAGCCAATATAATGAATTAATTCTAAAATCGATATGGACACACAATAGCCCAAGAACAGCCTCTTGAAAAAGGACAAGGTGGGAGGATTTGCCTTTTTGGGTATCAAAGTTTTTTATGAAGTTATAATAATTAAGACAGGGTGGTACTCGGGAGACAAATTGATTAGTGGAATGGAATAGGGGCCAAAAACTGACCCACAGCTGTAAGGACACTTAATATAGAGCAAAATTGGCATTTCAAGACAGTGGGTAAAGGACATTCATCTCAAACAATACT